ATCAAAAACAAGATATTTAATGAATACCTGGAATAACAAATGATAAAATACATATATTTTAAAGATTCAGCAAAGAAAACAATCAGCCATCACTGAAATACCATAGGAAATGAATACGGGTCTTTTTAGACCCATGTTGCGCATTAGAGGGGTTGCTATACAAAAACTATTTTTATTCAAAAAGTAAGAAAGGAAAAATTAAAATAAGGATTTGTGATGATCAAAAACAAGTTAATTGAGGAATACCTGGAATACTGAATGATGAAATTAATTTCTTGCAAAGATATAGAAAATTAAAACTGAGTCGGGTCTATTTAGACCCATGTTGTGCATCAAAGGGTTAAGGAAGCTCAAACACATTCCACTGATAAAAGTAGATTATTGAATCCAATCTGCAGACTGGATCCGGTGTGTGAATATGACACCGCAATTGCTATTGTGGAGCTACTGATACTTCACACAGAACAATAATAATAATAATATTAATATATTATTATTATTTCAATTCAAATTAGGGCTGTCAAACAATTAATTGTGATTAATCACATCCAAAATTGAAAAAGTTTGTGTTTACATCTGGGTGCACTGTGTATAATTATTTTATATATATAAATACACACACATGCTTGTATATATTTAAAAAATATTTTCATGTATGTACTGTATATAGATTTGTATATAATTTATATATATATATATATATATATATATATATATATATATATATATATATAAATAAATTTTTTTCTTAAATATGCATGCATGTGTGTGTATTTATATATATACAAAATAATTATACACAGTGCACCCACTTATATTATGTAAACACAAACTTTTATTTTGGATGTGATTAATCGTTTGACAGCCCTGACTCAAATATATTATTTATTGTGATTGCAAGGGTTGCCAATTTTTATAATGCTTTTTTTGAATATTAAGCATTCATGCAGTGTGTAATATAGCTGTTTGGTCCATTTTTTTTCAAAGCAAGAACTGATAAGACTTTAAATGTGTACCATGAAATGCAATTTGAGTTGCTTTGGATAAAAGCGTCTGCCAAATGCATAACTGTAAACTGTAACTGTAAATCTGACCAATCAGAGCAGAGTAGGCTCCCAGAAAGGCGGGGTCTACGGTGTACATGCAAATGACATCACAGATCCCACAATATACAAACAAGCCGCTTTTGGAGCTTGATTAAATAAATGCAGTTTATAATGAGGAGGATATTTTAAGCTATGAACCTTGCAGGATGTTTTAAAGCCCTTTAACCAAGAGTTAAAAAAGAGAAAATTTGGAATTTGCACTCAATTTGAATTTGCAACTTGTTTTTACATCCTCTCACACCTACACACACAAAACCACAGCCTCTCTCTCTTATCAAGGCAATTAGCAGACAGGCCGCACAGCAGTCCGTGTCCTGCATAAAAAAAGTCTTCAAAAGCAACCGTTTAGAGACACCGAGGGAAAATAAACTCCGGAACACAATGCACCGCTAGCTTTCTCTACCCACAATGCCCCCACCATGGTCTGTGGCACAATCCAGTGTGGCCACACTGCGGTTTGTTTCAGGGGAAAACTGACCTCGAGCAATTCCTGGGTTACAGGAGCACCGGAGCGTTCCACAGCCCTCAAAAAGCGGATATCCAAAAAGCCCGGTCCAGCCCTTGGGGCCTTTTATAGAGAGCACAGGAAGTACAATCAGTACCTGCAAATTAAACAGCTCTAATTATGAGCTGGAAATGTGCTGAAGAGTTCAGCATTAGCATGCACCCTTCAAAAGTCGCTCTATAAATACTTCTCCTCACCACCACGTCCTCCATCATGCCATCAGACAGGATGTTATACCTTACATCCTTCAGCCCTTTTTCTTAGTTTGATATTCAAGATAAACACCGCTCACAGTTCTGGAAATAAAATGGGAATTAACATCATTACAAATTCATATTCCAACAAAAATGGGATTCTGATCTAATTAGTAGTAGGATGATGTGGTTTCTGCACCTCTTTATGCTCCATTAGTCTTTCAGTATGTGATTAATGAAGGTGCTAAGCAAACGCTATTGATTGTTCATTTCACAGGTCCCCTGAGAGTGTTGCTGTGCTGTGTCATCAAACCACTGAGGCTCAAATATCACTATGGACTATACAGCAGAAATAGCAGAAATTAAGAACTATAAACTCTGCTTTCAGAGATGGTAATATAGGGGAGTTTCACCAACAAGGCTCAGACTGAAGGCAAGAGAGTAATTACAACTACTTCTTCAGGTGAAAGAGGTGTAAAAGGTCCCATTCAGTTTCCTCAGAGTTAAGGCGATAACTATAAAGATATAGTTCTAAAAATATTTCAAAATATAAAAGAATAGAAGAGCCCACACCACAACTATAATGATAATGGCACAGGGAAACAATATAGTTGGAATCACTTTCCAAACGATTTTATGAACAATAAAATAATGACAGCCAATCAGAATCCACCCTGCTTGAGAAGTAAAACATTTCCTCATGTCATGCCAGTTATAATTGAATTTTGTTAATTTAATAAAGACAATAGAAGTCAGTTCTGTAAATGAATAAACTGAGAAAAATATAGATTTTCTTACTTAGTACTAGTAGTTTACTTGAGAAGCAAAATTACTTGAGGTATCTTATTTATTTATTTTAAAGATTAAAAATAGGGAAAGATAATCTTGGTTTCCCTCTGAATTAAGCAGCCTCTTTTTCTTAACTGACAGGTATTTAACTCAATAGATTTATTATGATTTTTTCAGAAAACAAGGCTTATTATTGTAACCCATTTCCATTTCAAATGTAAATCTTGATTTAGCTTTTTTTTTTTTTTTTTTTTTTTAGATATTTGAAAAGAAAAACAAGACAAAAAATGCTAAGTGTTTTACTCACTTTTTTTGGAAATAGGCTCATTTTACAACCCCCCAGAGTTATACCAGACCATGAAAACCAGATAAGAAAACCACATTGCACACTTTTTCAATTGTGTAGTCCTAAATTTATATTTTATTATCTGGTTTTCATGGTCTGATCTGCTGTCATATTGACAACCAGCAAACCAGCTGGTCAAGTGGGTTAAGTGGGACTGCAACGGAACAAAACATTGTGAGCATGTGACTTTGTTTGGGTGTCTAAACTGTGTGGAAACTAAATAAAACTGCTGGTTTTATTTAGAAGTGGCATTTTTCTGTCTAAAGAAGTAACATCTGTTTTTCAGCAACGTTACAGGTTGTGCACGTATTTATACAAATTGTACAATAACATACCTGAAGATGCTTTGATGGGTCACGATGACTCATGCAGCAGCATGTGTGCATGTGTGTGTGTGTAAGAAAATGTAAATATGATTTGTCTGAGCAGATATTTTAGGAGCTTCTGTAGGAGTTGAAGAATGTGTGGCCACAGACTAGTCTATCGTCTGCTTGGATTGTAGGACGTCGGTACATTTGAGCCGTCCAGGTCCCCTGCGTGACCAACTCAACCAAACTGCCGCCCACTTACCGGCAGGAAAATGACAACCCTTAGAAGATCACTAAGTTTTCTTTGCCGGTCGGCAGGGAGAAAATAAGGGACCAAAGATGGTGATAGTTTCCTGTTGGAGTGGGCGGCAGCGGAGACGTGTCCTGCTCTTCTCTCCATCAGCAGGTTTGCCCATCTCTCCTTCAGAGGTCAGTAACACAGCGCCATCTACTGGATGACATAGCACAGACCAATTAAACACAACAACGAACCACAAATCTCCAAACACAATCTCAAAATGGCCTTATGGCAGAATGTGGTATTTTTGGTGTATTTGAAAGACACCTTAATGGATTTTGTTTTAATTCATATGTTATTTGGGTAACGCTTTAGATTACAGCCCGAAAAGTACTGTGTAATTGAGAGGAATTTACAGTTCTGGAATTATAATTATAAAGTACTTACATGTATAAGGGAACAATATGTAAAGTTTGGGGAATAAAGGGATAACAACCAGAATTAAATAAATATTTATACTGTAAGTATTATAGAACTATGGGTTACTTATTCTACTGATACAACGATTCCCATCCAACATTCCCCAAACTTAAAATAGGTTTCACTTTATTTGGATGGTTAACACATTCAGTTGTTAATGTTGCACCTACAGGTCGACTAATTCTCACTAGAGTGTATAGAGTATTGGTAGACAGGGACGGAATAAGTTGACATGTAGTTGCAAAGTCAACAGAATGTTCAAAAGGGACCATCAAAATAAAGTATAACCTTAACATATTATTCCCTTATACTTACATTGTAAGTACGTTATAGGTACATTACAATTTACATTGTAAAATAAAATCGCATTCCGGGCTGTAATCTAAAGCGTTGTATTTAGTTTTATACATTAAACAGCTTGCAAACATACTTTTTCATCAGAAAAAAATAAAAATAACCTGTTAAACATGCAAGTAAATGCAATAATTTTAACCCGTTTCTCCTTATAACCTTTTTGACATGTGTTCTTCAAAGCAAATAGCCCCAATTAATCTTTTTTTCCCCCTAAGAGTGTAACATGTTTACATACCTGATCTCACATACCTGGCATCTCACAACTCACATTTAACATTCAACCTGGAAATATAAAATACAATTAATGATTTCAGAAACCGTTAGCAACTATGAAAATGATTCAATGAATGCTCTAATATACTCACGTCAAAGTTAAGTAGGAAATACCCTCGCAGCGATATACCTTCAACACTGCTGAGCGACGTTTTCAGAAAGAATATCTCAATGGCAAAAACGTCAATTTCTTCTGATTTCCGGGCAACCCGAGTCGTTTGCATAGTTGTTCACACATTGTAAATGAAAACGCAATTAATACATTACATTGTTTACATATAGCCACTTTACATGATGCTTTATTTACATAAAGCATCACAAGATTTGACATTTTCTGTGCACATAAATTACACAGTAAACTGTCAAGATAAGATTTAACCACAAATGTAAAGAAAAATCAAACCTTCTTAGCTTTACATTTCTCTGAATCTCTTTATTGCATATAAATGAATATATATGTTCAGTATGCATGAAGTCTAGAGGCCAAAACCACAGTAGTGCGAGTATAAAGTGCTTATATAACGGAGAACATCAAAAAGACGTCTTACGATTGTTTGCGTTCAGTCAGGGGACGGGATAAATAAATCACTGCAGTTAAATAATTTACACAATAAAATCAAATCACACACACTTATCTGTGCTTTTCGCTTCAGTCGTTGAATGTCTAAGGAGCAATAAATAACAACACTGGCCATGCCAGATAAACCAAACGGTCACATAATACTGTTAATCAGAGTTTTTGACATCATCCAGGTGGTCTTTTCTGTTGATAAAGACACACTGGATGCGGGCGCTCTCCTCTCCGCGGAGGGTGATGATGAACCTGCTGATGCCAGTGTTCGGGCACGGGGAGAACACCTGGTTCATCTTCAGGCCGGCTGGCAGACAGCACTGCAGGTCCTCTACTAGGTGACGCACAGACACACGAATAAACGCCCCGTGACTAATTATGACTGGTGTAATGCTGAAAATACAGCTTTGATCACATGAAATAAATTACATTTTAAAATATATTACAGTTGTTTTAGATTGTAATAATATATTTCACAATATTACTGTGTGTTTGCTCAATAAAAACGTTATTTTTCCCAACTTGTGTACTTCACAAAGTACTTTCAAAACAGCCAGCTGCTCCAAATTCAGTGTTTAAGCTAAGCATATTTGGCAACATTCAAGACTGGTTTTCCTAGAGAAAGGCTCAATTTCTACCTGTTCCAGCGTCTCTCCGCCGGGAGGTGTGTAATCTCGGCATGCCTGACCCGCTGCGTTTGCCATGTTCTTCAGATGTTCCTTTGGTCTTCCCTCTGCCACCCCGAAACCCTGACCAATACATCACACATGTGCATTTGAACTAACACAACAGCAATTCTATGGGATACCAAATTGAAGAGATGCTATTTTGTTATATTAATATTATTACTTACCGTATCTTGTTCATTATTATTTCTGATGTTAATCTTTTCATTAATATATATCAAATATGTATATATTTAATGCACAGTATAAGCAGCTGACCAAATGTATGACAAATCTCGAATCTTGGCTAAGATAGACACTCACCCTCTCTCTGAGAAGAGGATCCAATATCATCTCAGTCGTAGAAGAATGAAGGTTGTTTCCTAAAATGATTTCAGCTGTCTTGAGAAGGAGAAGAAGTTACATTTCACATGATGGATAAATCACTCACAAAATTTAACAGTTGCAGTCACACTCACACACACACCTGGATGGCTCTTTGCAGGTTACTGACAAAGACATTGGTGAAATGCAGATCTTTGAGGTACTGGCCAGCTGCGGCCGCCTGCTTATGTCCCGTCTCTGACAGTGGTGTGTCAATTCCCTGACCTACACATTTGACAAAAAAAAAAAAAAAACATTCATCCACATACCAAAAAGGTCTACAGCACATCTTGAGCAGGGGTCATCGCAAGGAGAAGGTTAGGGGGTCCGTGAAAATGTTTAGAGAAAAAGTAAAAAAAATTAATAAATAAATAAAACAATAAATAAATAAACGTATTGTATAATAGATTACAATATTAAAATAAAAATAGATAAATTAAATAGCAAATAACTCTAGTATAATCTATAGTTCTATACACTTGGTGTTGCATACCATTATGTAAAACTTTGCATGTTTTTTTTAAAGATTGAAGATGGTCGCGGGTGTTCGTGGCATCCACCAATTTTAATCACTGACGTAGGCCCTAAGCATTAACAATACATGTGATAGACGTGTATTTACTTACCTTGAAGCAATTTATCTCTGTTGTATTGCGTTTCCCCACTAGGAAACAAGAGCACATAATAAATAGTCTTCAATCACTTCAAAGGGACAGGTCACATGCCATGTCATGCAGAGGTCATTACAGATAAAACGTCCGATCACAGCGTTGACTATATGCCATATAAGGCATTCTATGAAAAAATGAGTGATGCGTATAAGCATAACAGATGTAGATGTGCTCTACTCTATAAGAAATCATAAACATTTGTATGCATGTACAACAAAAGCAAACATACAGAATACACAAGCGCTCACTTACTGTCGGACGATCGTTAATGCAAATGTCAGCATAATACAGATTTGCAAGAGTAGATGAAATGTATGACCATGTCATAGACAGTAAACCCGTAAACTGACAGATGTTCTTCCCATAGGTTCTTCCTGGTTCATGAGTCAAAGTGTTGCAAATAAATGACGTCACTTAAATGAATGGAAGTGTGTCGTCCTCCTGTGGTGATTTGTGAGAAGTGCACTGCTACGTTGTTTTGTTTTTTACTACCAGTTGCAAATGTTGCTTTCTAATATCTGTTCCTGCTTTTGTACAGCTGTAATCAGTTTGTAAATTGTAACTTCTGTAAATTATTTTGTTTTGTAAACCCCTGGCCTTGCAAAATAACTATAATAATGTGTCAAACGTTTCTTTAACCGCATTTAAATTCAAATCGGGATTTAAAATCAAATGTATTCCTGCCATCAAAATAAATAAAAAAGTCTTTGATAAAGAATCTTAAAAAAAGAGTAGCCAAACTAAATAAATAAAGTACACTGAACAATATTACTGAGAAACATCCGTCTATTTTGAAATTCATGTTGTGTAATTGTCAAAACTCACCACGCGAGGGAACACACACCATATATATTGATTATTTATATAATAGGCTACACTACAGCGTTCTCCTGTGGCTGTAAGTCATATAAATCACCACAGAAGGGCGCCATTCGGCTCCTACTTGTCTACAGTGGTATTCGCAAATAACAAAACAAAACATAAAACTGCTCAGTTTTATTCAAATTGATATTTATTGAATTTAATGTGTGATAGGCCAAAATGAGGTAAATATTCAAACTTACGGATAAAAAGGGAGAAATTATGGTATTGCTGAAATGCCACTTCTTTGGATTTGTTTGCATGTGGAACTTTTAACGGATGGCTGCTTCAAAATAATTTAAACAAAATAAAATAAAAATAATATCTCGTATCTAAACAATGTGTTGCCCCGGTCTTACATCCTGGTAAGTACATTTATATATGTTTGATAACAGACAAGTTAATAAAAGAAGTTGAAGGCTTAACCTGTAACTTAAGTCTTAGGGTAACTTGCTGGTTAAAGAGGTCCAAATACCCTTTTTAATCCTACTTCTCCTCCATATACTCTTGACTGAAGTACTGTGAGGTAATTCGACTGTGGGCAGGAACATTATTTGAAAGCAATTAAGGCGTTTTAAAACACGTTTCATAACACATATTAATATAATAGCTAGGGAAAAAAGTAAGACAAAAGTCAAGTCAGACAGCATTGAACAAATGAGGCAAGACTGTTCATGCAGATTTGAAAGTAACACTTACATGCATGTTAAAGGTCCGTCTGCAGTAAAATAAATGACAGTGTAAATGCAAACAGAAAACAGACAAGCAGCCACCATGAAAACACGTTCAATGATCCTGTGATATAGCAGCAACATGAAAACTGAAGGTATGCAATAGCTCTTTTTTCATTTTTCTTTTTCTTTTAGCAGCACTGGAACACAAGTTTAAACATTTACACAGAAATAAAGGAACTGGGAGAAAAAAAAAACACAAAATTAACATAGGGATATGATAGCACAGAAACTCAGTGAAAATTATTAAAAAACCTGAACATTGTTTCAAAAAAACTCATTATCAAACTGAGCATAAACGTAGAGTTCATTTGCATACATGTGTAGGAATGGAACATTGGTCACAACACGTTATATTTTAAGTAAACACCTCAGACCTCTGAGTTACGTTTAGGCCCACTAATATAAAGAGAACTGACTTAAGAAATCAATTTTCAAAAGTGCAAGAACAAACTAATGAAGAAAGAGAAAGAAAATTGCCATAATGTTTCCAAATATCTTCTTCCTATAAATGAGAAAGTTCAAGTAGATGACAAAATAAAATAAAACAGACAAATAAAATAAAGTGATTTAATGAAATTTGATGATGTCCTATCTATGCTGACATGAATTTAACACAACTAAAAAAAAAAACTAACAACAACAACAACTAATCTTGGCATGTCAAACCAAACCATTTCTATGGCAGTTGCTGACTGTTAGATCAGTTTACGGTCTGAATTTGTTGGTCTAAAATTAAAACTATAACCCGCAAGCACACCTAATATGGGAAACCAGCCCCAAAACAAAAATAACTTAAAAAAAAAAAAAAAAAAAAACAATGCCAAAAAAAAAAGAAAACCCATGCCCTCCTCTTGTATAGCACAGATAACCAGCGAGAGGTGATATCTCAAAGTGCATTTGTATTGTGTTTTTGCTAGGAAGGATTTTAAAACTCCCAAATCATTAAACCACCATAAATCCATTCAGCATAGCGAGTGTCTCTGACTCACATGTGATGGTGTTTTTAAATGTCAAAAGCACATTTTATTCATCCGACGATTAGATCGTTTCAGAAACCCTCTGTCTAAAACCTTTCATATTTCAATCACGTGCAAAATCTTTCAATCTGTGTTCTTCACTTCACCTCTTTTCTTCCTTGCCTCCCTCACATTTACTTCACGTTCACTACATACTTAGTCTATCTAAAACCGTCCTGTGTCCTCATGGAGCTGTGATGGTCACCATGCATGAATAGAAACCATTTAACATATTCATATGCTTATTGCATGCAATTACATTCATCTGTAAATAAATCCTATGCTAATGGAGTTACTCATACCCAAGAAGTAACTCATCAGATCATTGTATTAATATCTTGATGATAAGCAAACTGATCCCTCTGAAAAAACAGATGGATGTCTCTGTCTAGAATAGCTTTCCGTGGGATCACATCTGGATGCACCCTAAATTACCTAGTATATAAAAAACAACCCCTGGGAATTACTAAAGCAATACATTCTATACGATATAAACTTTATATCGTAAATAATGTATTTGTTTTATAAAGCATAACATTCTTAATAATAATGTAATATTGTCCTTATTATTATTATTCAATAAAATATCAATAGTATTAATAGATAAAGTTGCATTTAATAGCCAATACAGATGTGTGCTCTTTGTTAAGCAATATACCACATACTGCATTATTTAATCATGGTTTGAGGCCGAATCAATTTAAATTCAAGTATGTAAAAGGCCCCCGCCTGCAGATATGAGACGGCAGCAGCAGCTGCTTTGCTCCTTAATAAAACGTCAAGCTTGTGTTTGTATTTTATGCGCATTTGACCATGGCGTCACAGTCACCTTACGTGGGTTTGAAATAAAACTTAAATACAGTAATACAATAATAACTGAATCATTTGTAGGCTGAGTAGGTGAGGTGGTTAGGATCAGGAACTGACATCATAAATTGACATCACGGACATCTGTAGGGGTGCAGGACAGGTTTTGAGATTGCGTCCCTTTGTTGTTGGCTCTGCCGTCCTGTTGTTGTTGACTTTCTTTCAGGCTGCTGGTCAGTAACTGCTCAATCTGCTCTTGACATGACTTCAGACAGTCCTAGAAGAAATAGAAGGAAAGAAGTAGAAACCAACTTAAGCACAATACCAAAGTCCTTCTCTGACTATACTAGTTTCATCCTCAAACGCACTGCATGGAAAGAAAAACTTTTTCGAGATAGCGTAAAGTTTCTTGGAGGAAAGCAATACCTTTGCCAAAGAACGTAAAGTTTATTGGGGGAAAAGCAATATTTTTCATAGAGAGGGGGAAAGCAATACTTTTGAGAGAGAACGTAAAGTTTCTCGGGGGGAAAGCAATACTTTTGAGAGAGAACGTAAAGTTCCTAGGGAGAAAGCAATACTTTTGAGAGAGAACGTAAAGTTTCTCGGGGGAAAGCAATACTTTTGAGAGAGAACGTAAAGTTTCTCAGGGGAAAGCAATACTTTTGAGAGAGAACGTAAAGTTTCTCAGGGGAAAGCAATACTTTTGAGAGAGAACGTAAAGTTTCTCGGGGAAAGCAATACTTTTGAGAGAGAACGTAAAGTTTCTCGGGGGAAAGCAATACTTTTGAGAGAGAGCGTAAAGTTTCTCGGGGGAAAGCAATTTTGAGAGAGAACGTAAAGTTTCTCGGGGGAAAGCAATACTTTTGAGAGAGAACGTAAAGTTTCTCAGGGGAAAGCAATACTTTTGAGAGAGAACGTAAAGTTTCTCGGGGGAAAGCAATACTTTTGAGAGAGAACGTAAAGTTTCTAGGGAGAAAGCAATACTTTTGAGAGAGAACGTAAAGTTTCTCGGGGGGAAAGCAATACTTTTGAGAGAGAACGTAAAGTTTCTCGGGGGAAAGCAATACTTTTGAGAGAGAACGTAAAGTTTCTCAGGGGAAAGCAATACTTTTGAGAGAGAACGTAAAGTTTCTCGGGGGGAAAGCAATACTTTTGAGAGAGAACGTAAAGTTTCTCGGGGGGAAAGCAATACTTTTGAGAGAGAACGTAAAGTTTCTCGGGGGAAAGCAACACTTTTGAGAGAGAGGGGGTAAGCAATTCTTTTGAGAGAGAACGTAAAGTTTCTCAGGGGGATAGCAATACTTTTGAGAGAGAACGTAAAGTTTCTCGGGGGAAAGCAATACTTTTGAGAGAGAAAGTAAAGTTTCTAGGGAGAAAGCAATACTTTTGAGAGAGAACGTAAAGTTTCTCGGGGGAAAGCAATACTTTTGAGAGAGAACGTAAAGTTTCTCGGGGGAAAGCAATACTTTTGAGAGAGGGTGTAAAGTTTCTCGGGGGAAAGCAATACTTTTGAGAGAGGGTGTAAAGTTTCTCGGGGGAAAGCAATACTTTTGAGAGAGAGCGTAAAGTTTCTCGGGGGGGAAAGCGATACTTTTGAGAGAGAACGTTAAGTTTCTCGGGGGGAAAGCAATACTTTTGAGAGAGAACGTAAAGTTTCTCAGGGGAAAGCAATACTTTTGAGAGAGAACGTAAAGTTTCTCGGGGGAAAGCAATACTTTTGAGAGAGAACGTAAAGTTTCTCAGGGGAAAGCAATACTTTTGAGAGAGAACGTAAAGTTTCTCGGGGGAAAGCAACACTTTTGAGAGAGAACGTAAAGTTTCTCGGGGAAAGCAACACTTTTGAGAGAGAGGGGGTAAGCAATTCTTTTGAGAGAGAACGTAAAGTTTCTCAGGGGGATAGCAATACTTTTGAGAGAGAACGTAAAGTTTCTCGGGGGAAAGCAATACTTTTGAGAGAGAAAGTAAAGTTTCTAGGGAGAAAGCAATACTTTGAGAGAACGTAAAGTTTCTTTGGGGAAAGCAAAACTTTTGAGAGAGAATGTAAAGTTTCTCGGGGGAAAGCATTTCTGTTATTAACTACACTGAAAAAAAAATGGTCTGATATAAAATTGATAGTAAATTGCCTGGTTTAAAAAGTGACTTCTGTGTGAATGCCTACATCACTACACTACTGACAAGAGACAATAGTGTAGTGAAATTGAATGCCAAAATATTGCTAATGTAACCGCACCTTAAGTTGGCAGTTCTTAGCCAAAATTGAGTTGCAAACTGGTTTAGGCTTTATGTCGATAGGTTAAAAAGGACCATGTACTATCAAACAATAAGACTTTGTCTTCTTGTGCCTGCCTCTTTCTGCAGTAAAGTGGGAGGTCTAATGAAATGATCCAATATCAAACTCTTGTCTTTGTCAGGATAATTAAAACCTGATAGGCTGTTCACAAAATGAAGGACACAACAGGCCCTGTTGTCTAGACAACTACAGGCACAGGAAGGAATGGTTGCTAATGGAGGCATGTGGTGTTTTTTTCCAGAACTTCAGATTAAAAACTTAACACATTACATTGAGGAAAGACAAAGAATGTGTTCAGCCATATGAGTGTTTGTGAGGAGCTTAAATGGGGCGTTCACTCTCTGGGTCCAATTCAAAAAAGTTTTACTGTGAGACTTTCAAAACAGCCTGAAGGCAAGATGTGTACATTTGTGTCAGAGCATGAGTGAGTGTGTGTGTGTGTGTGTGTGTGTTTTAATCCACAGATGTGGTTGAGAGGCCTGTGTCTCGCCACAAGTATGCAGCTCTGAAAACACACCGCCATCGTTGCATTGAACACACACTAACATTCATTCATAAAATTACATTTCTCAATTTCCATACAGTCATGCATGAATGTCCTGCACAAGCACATGTAGGCTATGCCCACAATTTGTCTCTCAAGAAAAATGGACTTGTGCACATTAAAAGCGTACAGTCTTTCACTTGAAAGACCAACATGTCCAATAATGTTCAATACATACTTTCTAGAGAAGTGGATCTCAAACTTTTTACTCCCACTGTACAGAATATTCGAAGGCCCCCCATATATAGGATAGATATTTTCTGTTGTAATTATGACTGTCACATGCACGCCATTTTGTTTGTTCTAAGTTTCTGTTTTCATGGACTTTCAGTTTGTTTTCATCAGTCATATGAGTTTCTTTGTCTTAGTTTCCCGCCAGTCATCAGTTGTTATGGACACTCAATTGTAAACTGTAATTTGCCTTGATCTTTTGACATATAAGAGGTCTTTATACATTTATTTCAGGTTTCATAGCTTAAAACGTCCTCCTCATTATAAACAAAGCATTTATTTAATCAAGCTCCAAAACGACTCGTTTTGATATTGCATGATCTGCGACATCACACGGGAAATAGGTCCTGCCCACACTGATCGTGAGCGTCACGTTGCGTCAAAAGCAAATAAAAACCATTACAATCACTGTCGCTGTCTACACTGGATACAGTATACAGTTACTCACGCACTCCATGTGCTTGAGTCTGCCGACAACAGGACAAGTGGAAGAGTAAATGAATGCATAAAGGAACGTTTGCTTTGATGCATCCAATTGCTCATTTCTGTCGAGACTTCAGAAGGATACCAGCATCAGGAACAAGTGGATGGTTTAGTGTTAATGCCATCATGGATTGTGTCTGAGGATTATAGGTTTGTTCAGAGAATTTGACTGCAGGTTGTTTTGTCAACAAGGCGCAGTGTAATGAAGAGTTTGTAAAGGAACTTTTGATGAAAGATAAGAAAAATTTGGTTTGATGTGGATGATGTTTTCATCGAGTGGGTATTGATGCTGTTTCCTATGCAATGACATTAGCCAATCATAACAGTGGCTGTTTACAGACAAAACTTAAATGAGCCACCCCTTAAAAATGTATAATTTATGACAGATAGGTCATACATTTATGACAGATTTATGACAGATTTCCTCCTAAAATGGATTGTTTTTCCACTCCACATATGCATTTGTTTTTGCTATAAAAAAGGAACATGAATTAATTTAAATAAAAAATCCATATCATGACCCCTTTAAATACTGTTCAGAAACAGAAAGTAGTGCAGCTGTTTTATAGTTACAGAATGAATAGATTACAGTACAACTAAGCAAATAAACTTTAGTTTAACCTGGGTTAAACTATATCTCAAAAGGTAGTTAAACTATGTAGCATTGTAATTACTGAGTTTTTGTTTCAATTATTTTTAGTATGAAGATGTTGGGACACTTACCACCTCAGTGTGGGTGATTTTAGCCAGCAGCTCCATCAGATTGTCCCCCCACAGATTTTGGTTGCTCTGGTTGGGCTGTAGGCCACATACTGCTGCCCCCACACATCCTGTGGCGATCATGGAGGGAGGGTACATGGTGAAGCTGTGATCTGAGGAAAAAACAAACACGCGCACATCCCGAAACATTAGTGACCAGGTCAGTAAACTCCCGAAAACATTACTCACCTAAGAGAAACTTCAAAATAAATTCCAAAGAAACAGATCTGATTATGCAATCTGTGGTGTCTGAATGAGGAGGTCTTACGGCATCTTACATCTGTTTTGAATTCCACACAAACCTTAACCTGACATTCACACGCTCTCCGGTTTCAGACCTGTTTTAACATCACTACCTCGCTTAAATCCTCCTACAGCTGCGAATGGAAAATGAGGAGAGCCTTCCTTCTCCTCCCACCCCATCTTCCTCCCTCCCTTCCTTCATCTCTCAGAGGGCTTTGAGGTTCCAGGAACTACTCCCCCTCTTCCTCTGTCTTGAGATCCTGAGAACGGGCCCTCGGTTTTCAGTTGGAGAGGAAAGCCTCCTCTATTCTGTGCTGGAAGTCATTCGTTTCATCTGCTTTGTTGGAGTTATCGTGCTGCTTTTTTTCAGATGCAGAGGATGCAACAGTCATCCCTGAATAAACACTACACTCGAGTGACTGCCGCAGTTTAGCAGCTGTGCAGAAAACCAACATTCCTAACTTGAGAAAATTGTTAAACCCAACGACAAAAACATTTGCAATAGCTCAAAAAAGCTCTTCTCATGTTTGCTTGGCTCATGTTCAGGCCTCCGCCTCTTGAACAGATGCAGGGCCGCAGAAACACACCCAGTTAAATATACAACACTTTTATAGACGCAAATATCAAGGCCAAAATCATCATAACACATTCACATCATATATTTCTAACATGTAGATTCACATTCAGCCAATCAGTTTTTGATGAATGCTGTCAATGTCACTCAGCTCCTACCTGTTGCACAGAGGGCGATGAAGGTTTGCGCGTGTTTGCGGATCAGCGTCTGTCTGTCTTCGGGGAAGGGCAGTTTGTGCAGGATGTGTTCGATGAAATCAAGAGGGGTGATGGCAGCCAGGTTCCATTTTAATTTACTTAGAACCACCAACTCCCACTCCAACAGAGGCAAAAACAGAATAAAAGATAATGAATATGATTGGCAGGATAACATTCAGAGATTACATAACCCACTATACATGGATACAAGATGCAGAAAGTTGTAGTTATTACCTATATTACGAACACACCCAGATGGCTTGAGGATGGTCTTATTCAAAATTTCGGCACAATCTGATTGGCCTTTGCTGATTTTACAGCCAATGAGACTGCTTGCTATCAGAGTTCATCTGAAACCCTCCACCTCTCCCATCTCCATCTGCCTAGATCTGCTATATCATGTCATGCATGCAATACATATATATATATATATATCTACACACACATATATGTGTATACAATGTCATGCAACACTTTGCAGCCAGATTCCATGTGGACCTAGTAATGTCTAGTAATTACAAAGAAACGACAAAGTAATTGAATTAAACATGAAATTCAGTGAAAAGACTGAAATGGAAAACATTTTCTTGGAAAACATACTCCAATAACCTGTTTTATTTGAAAAATCCCCTTTTACAATGTATATGAACTTTACTGTCATTAAGTCCAACAGGTCTGCAAATGATTACACAAACTATATGATATAAATACCATGGTGTCACTAGTTCGTCTGCCCATTCAACCTTAAAGGTTACAAGGTAAACTAACTTGGCTTGCTGTCCTTGGAGGAGGGTCGAACCCGAATTAAAAAAACCTATGATGGAATTGCACATAAGAGGATAGAGGTAATTTACTGGAGGAGGGCTGCTTATATAGTAGCTCATAATGATAATTGACAGGACTGAATTTTTAGACTCCTCCCGAACCTAAGTTTGGAAATGAACTTATGATGTCAGTACCATATTTATTCAGTATTTATAGTTTACTATTTCAGTACCATAGTATCAATATCTGATACTATCACTTCTGCCTGGTTTGTCAATTGAACTGTATCTGACTCATAGATCTGACTGAATTGGCTTTATGCCCAGCTGCACTACTTCCTGAACTTCAGCCATCTTCTTGTTTCCTGTCTGCCATTATTGGCCAAATTGATTAATTCAGGTGTGTCTGATTATTGTTGCCATGACAACTGAGGTCAGGCACACCTGGATTAATCAATTTGGCCAATAGTTGCAGACAGGAAACAAGGAGCTGGCTGAAGTTCAGGAAGTAGTGCAGCTGGGCATACAGCCCATTAAACCCCTTACTGTGGTCTGTTTTATTGCCCCCTAATGTTTCAACTGGGCAACTGCAAACTTACATGCTATACTTAATCCAGACAGAAAGATTTTAAAATGCAAAAATATGTATTGCATTAACACACCATGTAATGGGCCTTAAAAAGTCTAGGTTGTGTCTATCATTGTGTCACTCAACACATTCCCCAACTTGTGATTCTTCAAAACAGGAACACTGAGTCAAGTTGCTTTTTAAATATCGATCTTTCTTGCCCAAGGGACGTCATAGTTTTAAAATGAATCAGGTCATAATGTAAAGCTCCGCCCCTTGTCTTTGATCTCAACCACCAATGAAGGAGCATTCCATGCACACGCTCAACTTCCTTCCTCGCACGTACACGGCTGGCTTTGCTTCGCCCTGCTGAAGCTGCTTTCTGAGAAACTCTCAAGAGCAAAGACACGAGGGGAAGAACAGCCCAAAGTGAGAAGCTCTCCACCCTTATTGTGTGTGTGTGTGTGTGTGTTGATGAGTGAAGAGAGAGTTTGAAAGTGGGGGACAGTCCCTGAAAGCGACACCAAATCACCAAGGTGAAGACTCCTACAGACAACAGCTCCTAAGGATGCTTAAATCTACTAAGAATCTGTGTTGGTACTAAAATTACCACTGCAATTTATGGCAAACCTTTTTGTTATAACAGTTGACTTAATTTACCTTCCTTCCTGTTGTCTCTCTCTCTCTCTCTCTCTCTCTCTCTCTCTTCCTCGGTTGATAAACACACATAACATCCAAATCGATCATCAAGAGATCATCTCAATTTAGACTTTACCAGGGTTTTATCAACGTCTCTTAGCCAGTCAACACTCTTAAAATTAAAGGTTCCAAAAGGGGGGTTTCACACTGATGCCATAGATGAACCATTTTGGGTTCCCTAAAGAACCATTTTTTCTTAGTGTGAAGAAGTGTGAAGAGCATTTTTAATAACCTAAAGAACATTTTTTCACTATCAAGTACCTTTTGTGTAATGGAAAGATTTCATGGATGTTAAGGGTTCATTATGGAACTGTAGATGCCAATAAAGAACGTTGTTTTAAGAGTGTATGCATGAGAACCATTCCCTCACTCCAGTCACAGAGGCCAAAATCACAAGAGCGTTTCATCTTAGCTCAAATCAGAAGACTGTTCAATGTCAAAACAACTATTATGTGGCAAAGGAAGCTCTAAATTTACTAATTTTTACAATAATAAAAATATGATGAATCAGAAGCTCACAAACTATGGCTATTTAATATAAAATCTATTATATTTTCAATCTGGGGTTTGAATAATATAGAATAACACAACAGATGGATGACTTCTTGCTGTCGTCATGGCCATCAGCAGCTCTTACCAGCAGTTGTTGAGATGTAATAGAGTTGTCCGTGTACATGCAGAGCTTCCTGGCCGACAGCGACTGGCATGCTTTTAATTTTGAAGCCAGGAAGAGACAAACGGCCCCTAAAAGTTGCAAGAAACATTTTCTTGTAGGAACTGCAGCTAAAAACCTGTCCAGGTAGTTCATTGCCAAGGGAAAGATATCCTCTTCACATTTCTCCTCTTCACAAACCTACAGGGACACGGACAGAATTAATTCACAATTTAGACTGTCTGGCAAATGCTTAGTGTGCATTGAACAACTTCTTTATTTTAAATATTGTTATACTCTTCAAACAGGCCTTTATGTTCTTTTCATAGACTATTCCATTTTTAGCTTTACTGTATTTGGAACATTATTACGTTTAATGTATAGCAAGGCCTATACTTTCTTACTCCGTGTAGCCAATAAGCTATATGAATTCAACTTTATGTATTAGCTTGGTAGCCTACAGTTTGTCACTACAATATGTTCATACTGTAACTCTTTTCATGAGAAAGAGGAACTTTCCAGTGTAAAGATCTTCATTCATTTCAAGCCGGGTGTGCTTCGAAACCAAATGACGCCCACACATGACTGCTTTGGTGATTCGTCACGGTAAAAAAATAAAAAAAATAAAAAATAAAAAATATGATATCAGTTCTTAATATCAATGACAGCATATAACATCCCACATATATGTGTCTCTCTAATTAAAATATATCGACTATTGCGTTGCATTGATGAACTGTAAAACGAAAATCGACGATTCTCAAGATGGTTGCACTTTCGCACAAACAACTCAGAGGCTATTTAAAAAATTCACAAAAATTACACAAATGCAAAAAAACATTGAACATGCACACGTAAATAAAGCACAGACCCTCGTCTGTCCAATAAGGCATGCCTTGAAAAAATACACAAAAGCGATCAATATTAAAATTACATTTAATTTAAGCTATCACGGAGTGTGGAGTTGCATTTCCTGCTGATTTCTCGATCAAACTTTCCTTTCCAATATTTGCACATCGATGAATGGATTACACATATGCTGCCTACATACAAATATATATAGGCTATGCTATGCATACAGGTGTGGGCTAATGTTTTTTTTTATTTTTTTTTTTAGTTTGACTAGCCTACTTGAGAAATGGTTCTTGACTTTGACTGTCTGCCAAAGTCCAGCTAGCTACTTCAGATTCTTGCCAACATAATCTACATTACATAATACTTTTTGAATAGTCTTTACACACTCCAATCAAACACTTTCCATAAATAAACCTTTAACTACAAACCTCCAGCATCCACGTCGCGACCATCCGCCTCATAAAAGGCTGAATATCTTTCTGGACACGTTTAAAATAGGGTCCCTGTGGAACATATCTGTCCTCCACTGTTAAAAGACTTTGCAATACTCTTTCATCGCAGTAGATGTTTGGATCTCTCTGAGCTCGCATGATTGTGTCCTTTTCCAAGCAAAAAAGTTCCATGTTTGAGCTGTTCTCGTTGTTATAGGCTTTCTAATATAACCACCTCACAGTGCCAGCTGCATGTGGCTGTGCCTGTGCAAGGACTATGGTGATCTTTAGGCATCAATAAGTCGTCTGCACTGTTAAAACTTTCACTTTTTACATTACGGAGGCTGCAATCCCAGGCACGAGTCTTTCTTTCTGAACTACAGACTGCAGATCAACTCCAATGACTGAATGACCACCCAAAAGGCAATGTCGGTCCCTCCTCCTCAATTCACGTTGCAAAAAATAAGCTCATGTTCTCTCCTTCCTGCCCAGCCATGGCACATGCATGGCATTCTAGCCAATCTTTTATTAATCACTACTCAACCACATTGTGCAAACATACATTCAGTGTATTGAAACAGGTCCCGGAAGAGACATTAGTTTTTTTTTTTTTTTACATGCATGACATGATGTGATTTTTTTCTCTGAATATTATTTCCCCTCACGTGCTGATGCACATGTCCAACTCATTTTACTCACTCACATACCATTTACTGCTGAATTTGATTACCCCATTTGTATATTCACTAGTGTTACCATTAATGCTAATTTTAAAGGCTATAGAAAGCTATAGACACAAAAAGGACACAAAGACAGAGCTGTCAAAGGGGGAAGTGACAGGTTGCTTGTTGGGTTACATAAACGTGTAATAACAATAGCCATTTAGAAAAAAAAAAAGCTTAAATTGGCAAAATTTTAGCTTGTGCTATAAAAACATGCTGAAATGTCTGGTCACCCAGATAAATAACTTTCCTCCACCTGTATGTCTATCTTTCACCATACAGCAGATGTTGGTGGGTGAGAAATTACTGACAAATTGACCATGTGTTACAGCTCTGAGAGATGAAACCACAGTTAAATGATAAGCTGCCAACCCACAAACCAACACATGTATTCATTAATTATTTGATCATAACAGTCTGTGACAGGTGATGTGTCAAACCGGGACCTCCCTCTGTAATACCACAGTGCACCACAGGAGGGAGCCGCCACCTGAGTACTGACTTCCGGGTCACAAACACACCTGAACTCCATCACGTTCATTGGTCTGGCTATAAATAGCCCACACACTTGCCTTGTGAAGTCTTGTTCTTCCTTTTGGACACAACTCTGAGCATTTTACTTTGTATCGGATTTCTCTGTGTATATTGGACTTGGACTCTCTTGTGGTTTTTCCATTTGCTTTATTTTTTGGATTTGTTTGCCTTGTCTGGACTACCTGCCTAACCCTGTTAACTGACCCTGTATTCCTATACTGTTTTCTGCCTGCTGTTTCATTAAACACTGCACATGGATCCACATGAGATTCCTGAATCTTCATCATTACAGAAGACTTCACCAAAATTGCATCCAGCAGATCCTCGGGTGCACGTTCCACTGACATCTCAGGCACCAATGTTAAGTGAGCACAGCTTACCTACAGCTTGCCCGTTTATCGGTTGTCATAGATGAGGTTTTAGGCCATCTTCTCCAACAGTCAGCCACTTCAGCGGCGACTTCAACCAGTACTACTGCACCCGCTCCTCCCATTCCCTCAAGCCCTCAAATGCCTGTTTCTATGGCTGGAAATCCCTGTCTTTCACTTCCTGAGAAGTTCGACAGCACCCCGGGTCTTTGCTTCAGTGTTCTCTATATTTTGCTCAGCCCTGCACTCTCAGTGGAAGCGATCTCTCAGCTTAAGAGCCCATGCAATATTCACCAAGTTAGACTAGCGCAGTGCTAACATTCTCATTCGTGTTCGTGAGGGGGGCGAATGGAAGACTGCCTTCATCACCAACACAGGCCATTATGAGTATCTGGTCATGCCTTTTGGGCTTTCTGATGCACCTGCAGTATTCCAGTCCTTCATGAATGAGACTTTTAAGGACATGATTATTAATAAGTTCATTGTTGTAAACCCTCTGAATAAAATACACTCTGTGTACATGTTCTGACTTATTCCCCATCCATGTGGTACTGTGACTGCAGTGACTGGCTGATCATCAAATTTTTGTCAAGCCAGAGAAATGTGTTTCACACACCCTCAGTCACATTTTGGGTTACGTTTTGAGTCCTGGGGAGGCTTGCATGGACACTTATGAGATTGGCCCGAGCCTCAGTCCATCAAGTCCACCAATCTAAAAAAACCTGGGGAGACTAGTTACCAAAAAGGAGAACACAGACAGGAATCATGACAGAACCCACACCATGACAGTATCAGAGTATCAGATTTTTTTGGAAAATGCTTTAAACCACAACAGTGTGAGTTTAGATTCGATAAGAAACCTGTCTCAACAAATGCAGATCTAATGAGGGAGAAAAAATTTGTTCAGTTAAAAGATTAAACTGTCACTCTTGGGCATGGGATCGTTTACTGGATTTAGTTTTAATTGATTCGTTTTGATTACAATTTTTTTATGAATTAAACAGCTTGTAAACATATTTTATCTCAAATAAACAAAAACCCCATAAACATCAAAGTATTAGCCCTCATTTAAGACATTTCTCCTTGTATTGAACCGTTTTTTGTATAAGTGTTTGTTAAAATGTGTGTGTGTGTGTGTGTGTGTGTCGTTCACGTATGTCTGTGTCTTATGACAACATGTCAACCCACATCACACTTTACAATGGCACAAAGGTAAAGGAATGCTCTGCTGCCTGGGAAAATGTGTAGAAGCATGAAATTACCTTGATCCAAAGATTCCTGCTGCATGCCGGTTCTGCCAGTAGACCACAGAGAGAGACAGACTGTTTGTCTCTTGTCTGAAACAGGTTAGATGTAATGTAGATCTTACTTTATTATCGTCTTATTGCATCAGCAGTTGGTAAATTCGTTAAAAAAATTTAATTACTAGCTACTATTGCATTACATCTTCAACAGTGTAATAACTCATTTCTCTCTAAGTGTTTCTTATTACTTAATCATATCAACCTCGACCAGTTGAACAATGCACGGATGAAACTTATAAAATAAAAAACATAAAAAACATATAAAATTGCATAAATTATTGTGTATCAGGTTAAGTTATTAATCTTTTACATAAAACTCACCCTTCATTCAGGTGTAGACCAGGCTTCCTATAAGAATATCTCAAACATGACATGACATGTAGCTGTGCAAAGCATGGATTGAATGCATTTTTATGCAACTGTAAGTATTCTTTATTTTTATTTTATTCAACCGATTCTTTCAAATGCTCAATCACGTTCGAGACCGGTGACTGACAGTGGTTATGAGTGAGTGAGTCATTGAATCACTGAATCATTCACTCAACCCGATTCGTTTAAATACACTGATTCAATTAGGTTAGACTGTTATTTATACATCGAAACGTTTTAGTTGGACGTTTGTCTAATGTTTTTTTTATATGTTACTAGGCGTACTCATTCCAGTACATTCAAAAGTAACAATCCAATCATTTTTGCAGAATAAAATGTTTCCGTAACTAAGAAAAAAACATTTAAAAAAAAAAGCAAAACAAAAAAAATAACTTAATGGGAACGTTTGCAAAACATTGTTTTTATTTCCTGGGTATCTTTTATTTAACAAAATTTTGATTGGCAAAATAAAAATATAACCATAAAATAAATACATTTTATAGATGTTTGTTCTAAATGTGATATTGAATTAAATGTGAATCTAAATATTGTAACCTGTATGAATAAAATCATTTGTTTTGTTGGTGAACAATGAAAGCAATATTTAGTCCATCTTTATGGACATTACGCGCCTCTATTGGTTTAGAGAGAGACAAAAGGGTGGGGTGACCATACAGTACAGTATAAAGGGAAGCCTGCCTTCAGTCATAAGCAAAGAGTCACTTAGCCTGGATTTCTGGAGAATGAGATCACATCCTGAATCTCCAAACTGAGGAAGAAACTCACACGTGTTATGAGGAAACAATGCGAACTAGATGTGTAGTTTAACAGTTTGGCTTAAGCCTAATCCCAGACTAAAATGCATGATGGGTTGTCTTAACTGAAAGTATACTTGCACTGACATGTCACATATCTTAAAATATGTCAGTGCTTTTCTTTTGTCTCAAGATGCACACCAGTAATGTTTTCTTCTAAGGCACATCATTGAACTAAGGCCTAATCCTGGCTCAATAAGCCTTGCATTGCATTTGCAACTGGGCCATTATGTCTTTTAGACAACATAATAAGCATTGAATCTCCATCCGGACCAAACCAATTTAAAACGAACTAAACTAGAGTGTCTGGTTTGCACTCATGTAAAGTTCACTTTCTAAGCAGAGGCCCCACTTGTGTCTGGAACATGAAGGATACAGTACAGCTGGAAAGATTTGATTAGTCACAGACTTCTTTGTGGGTGTGGTCCCATTGTAACAAGCAAGCTGATTGGTTTTCAACACTACTTTGGAATTTAGTCTCACAATAAACAGCACTTGACTGAAGGACAAAAAGGAAATGACCAGGAAGAGACTGACATTCAAAAACCAAGAAGTTGTTTTCTAAACTGTGCGCAGATCAAAGCAAACCTCTGATTAGTCACAGATATCATGGTCAATCAATGCTAAACAGCAGAGGTTGACACAGAGGGTAGTGTATGTGTCTCAGCCCAGCGCTGTGTGTGATGGAGAGGAGGTCCTCACATAAAGGCTTTCCTCTACATAAAGGGCCCTCTGTGAGCCCGCAAGAGCTTTAGCTTTAATTCTCCTGATTGGCTTATTGCTTTATTGAATTCTACTGCAGAATCCTTGGACTTTGCTGACGGCATGCAGCCACAAACCAAGAGGCCTGTCACCACTCCCGGATTCAAGAGAGCATTTTACATGAAGGCATAGCGGAGCGAATTCTGACTTATGTGCTGTTTCATCCAAATAAGGAAGAAGACGGTGTTAGTTTTGAACATCTCCACATTGACACTGACTGTATACACTGTTACAAATAAAGGCTTTTTATTGGCGTTGATGGTTATATGAAGAACCTTTAGAGTCCATAGAAACTTTCCATTACACAAAAGGGAATTTAGTGGGAAAGGGTTCTTTAGATCAACTTTTTGGACAATTATTTCTATTCATTTTTGCTGTACAAAGAAACAACACAAAACACAGAACAATTAAAACATTCCTCATTCAAACATATTTAATAAAGTTCAAAATATTTACAATAGTACATTTATATACAGTATACAAAAATATATGTTTGGGGTCTTTTTTCTTTTCTTTTTCTTTTGTCTTTCTTATAGATTGAGAACACTCGCAATCACCTTTTGTTTATTTATTACCTGCCCACATTCCAATTCATATCTATGTATTGGGTTTTGTCAAGATGATTACATAAGTTCTCATTCTATTTAAACATTCCAGCGTTATCTGCAGGAAATGGCATTACAAGACCGAGATCAAGATGA